AGGACGAGAAAAAAAGGCTTCATGGATTTTCTTTAAATACGGCAGGAATAAAGGAGGCAAATATGAGCCAATTACTCGGATCAAAGCTAAAGAAAGCTATACCAAGATACGTTGATTACAGGAAAACCGTATCAAAAACACCGGTAAGAACTCAGGTAAATAAATTTTGGTCCTTTTTTGAAATTTTAAAAATTCCAATTGAAACAAACAATTTTTCTTCATTCACTTTCCATTATCATTTTGCTGATTTCCTTCCTTTGTTTTATTCAACAAACAAATAATTTAGGAAATCAAATGTTACATTTTCGCAGCACTATCAACTTTTGAAATGCATATAGCGCTCAAAAATAGAAAGCCTCCGGTACGGCTGTCAGTTCAGGATGTAATGGATTGTAGTTCTTTTCAAAAATGCTACGGTAGGGGTGGAGATCTAACACAGGTGTGTAAAAAAATTTGTCGCTTAATAATAAACTGATTGAATTTTTTTTGTTGAATGATAATTAATAGTTTTTTCAGGTTTATGATTGGGTTAGTGAGAATGGTGTAATGACCAGTGAAAAATATCCGTATAAAGAAAATGATAGTGTTTCATGTCCGAGCGAAGAAAAACGACAAAAACTATAAAAGGAGGATTAGTTGGTGGTGTTTATTTACCGCGTAATAATGAAGATGTTATCAGAAGGTGTTGGCAGTTTATGGACCAGTTGGCATTTCATTACATGCATCAAGATATGGTTTTATAAGTTATGATCGTGGTAAGTAATTTGCGGGAAAAATTATGAAAAGAAAAACAACCAAAGAGATAAATCATACAGATATAAAAATGCATATTGACAAGCAATTGTAATTTAACAAAATTTAGGTATTTATGATGATCCAGATTGTCCAGACAATACAAATCATGCTGTAGTGGCAGTTGGTTATGGTGTGAAAAATGGAAAGAAATATTTCATCATCGGAAATGAATTCATTTCAGTAATGAAAAGATGGTAGTAATCAATATGAGATGATAAAGTCGGCGATAGGCTTTTAAAAAATGAGCGAAAATTAAATAATGTAATAATTCGCTGACAATTCATCTGAGATGAAAATACCAGAATAAATTTTTCAATATATTAGATACTGTAATTAACATAATTTCGTTTTTCGGCCAAACTATTAAATTTTCAATATTTATTAACGAATATTTCTCAGTATTACACGTCAACAATTTCTACTAATATCAATTCCTACTAAAATCAATAATTTCTACTAAAACTAACTGAAATAATTTCATTCATTATTTTAAACAAATTATTTCATTCATCTTTTCATCTATTCCATTTTAAAGATAATTAAATAAATTTAATTTCCGATTATTTGAAAAGAAGAAAAAACATACACACACACACACACAAACAAACAAACCAATCATTTATAATAAATAATTTATTTTATATGCTATATTCTATAATATCAATAACTATTGAATTGCAAACAAAATGAAATTGGAATTTATTGCATTTGTGAAATTTCAATTATCCATTAAAAGACAATACTAATTATGAT